AATCAGAAATTCAAAGCCCTAGCCAAAATTGGTATTGAGTTTTCCGTATGTAGAACCTTCAACGTTTGTTGTTAGCAATTTCAGTTTGCATGTTAACTTCGTTTGTTGTTTGAAGAATTGCGTTGGGTGTTGAGATTCGATTCCTCTGGTTTATAATTTGTAAGGTATGTCTTAAGTTACATTTTTACAAACACTTCGTTTAATGTTTTTGTTGTTTGCAACGTGTTCGATAAGCAATTTTTTTGTTAATGTTTTTTAATGATGCTATTTTTTTCAGTTTGCTGTTTGCTGTTTGCATTTGATGAAGTCATTAGTAGTTTATTGATTGCAATTCAATATAGCAAGTTATGATGATTTTTTTTTACAGTTTGCTGTTTGCATTTGGCGAAGTCATAGGTGGTTTTTTGTTTGCAATTCAATTAATGCAAATTCTGGAAAAAAAAATCAGTTTCTTGTTTGCATTTGGCGAATTCATAGGTATTTTGTTGTTTGCAATTCAATAATACAAATTATAATTTTCAATTTGCTATTTGCAGTTAACATAGTGAGTCGGAGTTCACGGAGTCATAGGCGGTGGTGCAACGGCGATGGAGTTTTTAGAGTATGAGTTTGTAAAATAAATAGTATTTTTTAACGGATTAATTTAATTTTTTAGTTCATATTTGGAAGAGATGTTTGTGAATTTGTTTTGATAGAGAGATTTTTTAGGATTTTATTTGATTTGATTAAGGGTATTTTTGCCTTAATATATATTATTAATTAATTAAAATATGAAAACTTTGACTTGGATTTATACACATAAATTATAATATGGAGGGACTATAGCAAATTGCCCCTTAAAAACTTTATTGGGAGCAACTCTACTCTATCATAAAATTTATTTATGTACCAATATTAGAGATAATAACTCTAATATTCTAAAAGGAATCTTTTTCTCACAACACTCTATGTTTGTCCTCACACGAAATACTCTCAATTTTGTGTTTCCTCTCAATTGCTTGTATGTGCTTTTTTTATTTTGT